GTCCAGATAAATATAAGATGGTTGTGACTGCCCGGTGGTTGAGAAACACTTGTCTAGATAAACGTAAGATGGTTGTGACAGCCCGGTGGTTGAGAAACACTTGTCTAGATAAACGTAAGATGGTTGTGACAGCCCGGTGGTTGAGAAACACTTGTCTAGATATACGTAAGATGGTTGTGACAGCCCGGTGGTTGAGAAACACTTGTCTAGATAAGCAAAGGGGAGTATGTTACAATATGTCAACCACACTTGTCCAGATAACACCATCTTATTGAACGAGTCACATAAATCGTTCATAAGAATGTATGAGTGAAAGCAAAGGGGAGTATGTTACAATATGTCAACCACGCTGTTTCTGCCACATCCTGTGCTGAGGAGGCCTTTTGCTTAATACGGGGACTTAAAAGAACAGGATTCGAATATCATATAACTTGTGAAACCACAAACATGTCTCTATTAAATAAAACATTGGCGTATCATCATGATGGCTCTACAACACCTACATAGTTCTACTGACCAATTATCTAAATTTGGGAATGGTACAGTCAACCGCCATATTGGTTTGTAACGGATAAAAAAATATTATATTTTTACTAATAACTTCTCCTTTACGGGCAGGTTTGATGCGTTTTTATAGAGCCAAACTACGACAAAATGAAGTATGAAAAGAAAAACACGTTGATGATAAACTCCTATTATAATCACTGCAGAGCGTATTTAAAAATAAAACCACGACCAGATGCCATAAATATATCCTTTTCTTCCTTGTATACATCCGTTAAGGGCCGCATTGACGGACGTACATGTGTAAAAAAGGGTTAGCACTATAAAACGCGAACTTCAGTATAGACGTTTGTGCGGCTTACGTAGCAGCTGGTAGTAAAATTAAATACAAAAATCTAATGTGTGTGTGTTAATATATCTGAAGATGATTGCCGAGAATCAATAAGAAACAGTCTACTGCTGTACAAACATCTATAAGCTTTAAAGTTTCGATTAACAAAATTCACAAACTTTCTAGATCTTTGACATGATTGAAGATTTGAAAACCAGACTACTATTTCAATAATAATGTCGTACAATGTCTTCTAGAATCTTCAATCCTGTGCGTAATTATTTCTTCTCTATCAGTCACATTCTATAACTTACCGATTTTATTTACACTTTTTGGAAAAAATGTTAATGCAATCACAGAGTTCTGAAAAATATAAATTCCTGTGTGCAGCCTTAATTATAATTAAGTAGCTTATTTAAATTTTCATTTCTACAAGCTACTAAGTAATAATTTTCGCGGAAGTGAACATGGGGATCTTTTGGAATTCCCCGAAATGTTTTCTCGCGTCTGGATAATATTGTGGCCGTTAGAATGAAACAACATAACGTAAAGTTTAATATTCATGACTTTAATAAACACTCAAATTTCGAACACTTATAGAAGCTACAAATAAACAGATAGAAATAAGCTGTAATAGGATTTCTGTACGTTTACATAACGCCCCCTAGGGGCACTTCCAGGTTAGGATGTTTAGAAAACCTTGATACAAGCCGCGGCTCTAATAAATAGTAGGTGGCGAGAAAGATATTTCCGTAAAATTACTCACCCTTCTGTGTAACATCAAGTCGTTTCGTCGGAATAACTAAATAAACAAATGTTTAAAATGACCCACTTTTTTCCCCCTTATGATTATCTTAAGTCTAAATTCAATCTATTTTAAAAGTAAATGTAGACAATAGTAAAAAAAATAGTTTCAAAACATTCACATGCATATATATATATATATATATACACTCAAGAAATTAAACACTCTAAACGAATACTTGTTGAAATAAAATAATAATATATATATGTTAATTTAACTATTCACAATTTAACAATGCACCAATACACACACACACAAACCTTTTGATGTTATATTTCACCAAATCAGAAACACTAAAGATTTGGTTTAGTATAATGATATTTCACCAAATCAGAAACACTAAAGATTTGGTTTAGTATAATGATATTTCACCAAATCAGAAACACTAAAGATTTGGTTTAGTATAATGGGCACACAATGACTTCGATAAATAAATTGTTGGAAGTATTTCATGTGTAATTTAAAGAAACCTGAAATCTCGTGAAATTTAAAAGTTAGAAATGAAATGTTTTATTGTCAAGAACTATTTAGTTTCAATGTAGGGGTGAGGAACGCCGTGTCCGTTACGTAGAATACGTTTGCATATATAGTTCAGTAGTTCATATAAAAAAACTCTATATAAAAGAAAAGATACAAAACTTATGGTTACTGAACTTTGATGAACTTAAAGATTCCCTGAAGCTTCACTCCTCTTTTGATTTGTTTAAAAAGCTAGCGGCGTCTCTGTAGTGATTAAATAGATCTTTTCCCCCCCTCCCCCGTAACCACTACACAAACCACGACCGGCCGCGGAAATGAGTCATCATTAAGGTCGGGAAAATGCTGGGATTGTCTAAGCCTTAACAAGCACTGTACACGTAGTCTTAGCTGGTATGATTCGCCTTCCTTTTTTTCTTCAAACCCTTTCGCTTGATCCATCGGGAAGTAAGGGTCACTCGCTGTCTGTACAACAACACCTACTGCACGTGATGTGTGTTTATAATATTTTGCCCTGATGGGCCCGCAATTCCAGATTTTCCACACCATAGACCAAGCAGAACGTTTTTCATCTTTCTTACCGGTTTCCCTACTTTTTCCTCTAATCATGACACAGGCAGGATCTACAGGTACAAACAAGGATACTGACATGCATGCTACTATGAACGCGCTCGGGTAAAACGAATCCCCTATATACTCTCACTTTTCACCGTGTTTTGGAAAACACAACGGCTTATTTTCGTAACAACGAATTTTTTGTTATATTTGTATCCATCATCCTTATTTTGGGGCAAAATCCAACAGAAATGATTAGAATATTGACACTTAAAGGTTACGAATATACATCTGGCAAATGTTTTCTCTCTCAATTTCTAAACTCTAACTACCATAACAAAACTGTGATATACCTAATACTAGTTTCTATTTACGCTTTACAAATTCTGACGTTCATACAAATATCTATCGTTGACAATATTTGTAAAACTTACTTTATAATCTTAAGTGTTCATTTTTAATGTTTACAAGTTCTACGCTCGACATTTTGGATTGTTATACTTTTCGTCGGTATTCCTGGTTCCGTAATATCGTTCGTGCTTTCGGGTCATACATGAGAATTATTCAAACACCTCTTTAAAACTCAGTTATTATTCATAACATAAAAACATTATCGCGGATATTACTTTTACAGATAAAACCATTTTCCAGAGTCCCAAAATGCTCAGTCTACAGTAAATTATAAATATTTAAATAAAATATAAATATTTGTTTAACTACGTTTAAAAAATAAATAAACAAAGTTTTTGTTCTTTGTAAATTGTAGTGTATTAGGGGTTGATTAGCAAACAAGCGATTTGCCCAATGTTAATATTTCACACAACTCCAGTGGCAATCCCAATACTGAACTCTCTCACTACTTCATATACGAACCCCAAAGGCTATTTCAACATAGTTCACAAGTATTTTCAAACAGCAGAAAAACCCAGGAATCGACCTATATTACACCATATTTCACTACGTTCAACAATACTTGAATATTATGACCCCCTCCCCCCAATATCCCTCTGTTAATTTAATATCGTTTTTTTTTTGTAATATTTCTCTGAAAACATCAGTGGCGAGTTTCAATATTAATTACTAAACGTGAAAGTTCCTAAAGGGTTAAAGGACATAGATGTGTTTTTTAAATAACATTATAAATATTAGTTATACTGAGTGCTTGAAGTTCGAAAAAAAAAACACGTTTAAAATATGGGTCAGATTAAGAGTGAAATGTTAGAATCAATAACATGTTTAATAACAGATATGTATTAAAATAAATAAAGCCAATTTAATTGTACACAATGAATATTTAAAAATTAGACTGTTCACAGTCTCAAAATACAACACAGAATTTGTTTATTTAATTTACTGTATAAAGTATCGTGAAACTGAAAGCAGTCACGTAATACTCTACGTTTCGACGTCTTACTCCTAACGATGGCGAAGTAATACGCCGAAACATGTAGATTATGACATGAGCTGTTCCCAATCTCACGGTACTTTATCCTTACACACTAAATTACTAAGTCAAACAAAATTGTTATTGTATTCTAGGACTGTAGACAGTCCCATTTTTAAATATCTATTGTGTAATATTAAACGTTGATTTTATTTCTTTAATACATCTGTTTTACTGAAAACTTACAAGTGTCGTCCTAACCTTAACGTGGTTTAACAATATACCTTGCAATTATATTTAAATTTATAAACTCATTCGAGGTTTTCTAACAAATACTGAGTGAATTTCTTCGAGACTTACATAGGTCGACCTAAGAGTAAGATATTTAATAGTAATACTGCAACCAGTCTGAAGTTTTAAAAGAACTGCTTCATATATTAGTCATACAATACTGGTAGTAGGTATGTGCACATGCCTAAAAATCAAGCCTAGTCACTCTTCGCAATTCATTAAACACCTGTACGGACTTTTATGCTCAATAAATACAAACCACACTTGGCATGACTTTAGCACCACTACTTCTAAAAAAGTAAAAGTATCATATGCACATTTTCTTCTAAGGCAGTAATAATTTACTGTAAGTTATAAAAATAATAATATACAAATATTAGAATAAGATTACTTCTCAGCAAAAATGTTGACCAATACTATAGGCCTACTTTTTTCAAGGCTCAGGACGAAACTCGTCAAAAGGACATTTTAAGGTGTATGTGAAGACAATCAACTTATCAAGTTTCTAACTTATATTTAGTTTCAATAGTATTAGCGCGAACCTTTAAATCACTTACTTTTCCTTATACTCCAGTGCCAACTGTTTAAAATAAGCTGCTTCTTCTCTCGATGATAAAAAACTTGGCATTTCTTCTTCCATGCTTACTTTCAAAGCAACAAGAGTACAAACTGAGAAATAATGACAATGTAACACTGTTCTTTTGTTTTTAATGTGTGACGTAGAAACGATTGGCTGTGCATGCAAACGCGTTGCGTTTCCACGAGCGACAAAGTAGTTAAGCAAGTGAGCAGAAAAGACGTATTTACTGTTTAGGCTTAACTTGTTTGAAAACGAAGTGAAACAAAGTTAAAAATCTTAGGAAATTTATCTCTATAAAAATTGATATTCTTATCACCGTTGTTGAGTTAATAGGCAAACAAATTATTAACTTAAATAGTGTTAAATTTTCCCAGATGTAGCTTCCTACTTGAATAAGGAGCAAAGGAAAATAAAGCAAAGACCGCTCGCTGTAAGGACTTGCCGCGAACAGAGTAAAATATTCGTCGCATACCTTCCCTTTTAATTAAAAGTAGGGTTAAAGCGCGAAAGCTGATGAGCGTTTATTGGATGAAGTCGTTCTTTAAATCATAAGGGACTGGTCAGTTTTTTTTTTTTCATTAATTACATATTACATTGTGGAAAAGAAGAAGAACAGGTGTGGTGCTCACACTATTTAGATCGACTGCCTGTCTTTATTTGAGTTTCACGTTCCCTCCCATATTATTTTGGAACATTCTACAGTTGTTAAATGTTTAAAATTCGACATGCAGTGTAAACTTGAAGATTCCGTTAGTTCTTTTATATATATAGTGAGGTACAAACTGTTCACGAAAACATTTAACAGTTCACTATTTGTTAGTGGACAATAGAGTATACTTTACAGGAACGTCGACGGGGGAGGAGAGGTCGAACGACCACCCCAATATTCTAAAACATCTAAAAGGTCCACTGTCTTCTGTTGTTGTTTTCTAATAAACGCTCGATTTTTAAGCAAATCACTTGTAAATTCTTTGTTTAAAAGAAAAGGTCCACATTGTTTGGAAGCCTCCACACACATACTCTGTAGCGCTGGCTATGCCTCTGCTTTAAGTTGCTTTGATTGAAATTGATATATTGTGCTTGCACAGTTCTGTTCAGAATTTAGTCACATCAGAAAGTCACATAAAACAATACAAATTTTCAAGACTAAAATGTAACTCAAGTAGCAGCGTTTCGTCCAAAACTTTTCGAACAAAAAATTACTTCGATAAAATACAAAACAATCAGGCTATAAAGATAAAAAACTGATATTTTTAGATGAGTATTTTGACATAACATAACTCGATATTAATATTGTACTTTTCCCCCGGTGGCTCAGAGGTAAGCTTGTGGGGTTATGATTCTAAAAGTCGAGGTTCGATTCCCTGCAGTGGACGTAGGCAGATAGCTCATTATGCAGCTTTGCGCTTAGAATAAAGAAACAAACGAATTCTGTTCCTTTAAAAAATAAATCAAATATTGTATCTATGTGTGAATATAATAAACAAATTAAAATTATATTTCCATACACATAAAAAGATATATTTCGAGGCTACATTTATATCTGCCCATGAATAAAAACATATTTACCTTAAATGTACTGTTGCGTATCTGCTTGTTTGTTAATTTCCGGTATAGATTCTTTCCGAGGAACTTCAGCAATACAAGTCCCTTCTTGATTAACCAAGTTTATTCTTTCTCGATACAAACTTTTAGTACACGGTAATTTCACAATCAGTACGTTTCTCGTCACTTTAAACTGAACTACTTTTATAATACACGCTATAAATCACGGCGATTAACAATCTCGATAACTTCGCTCTCGACGAGTACAAAACACACTTTATATTTACCGTAATTACTGTTCGCTTCTTTAATTATCCATCTATCGCTGGCTTCTCTGCCAGGCTTATATAGCAAACGAAGGGGGCGTCTCGAATACACTCGGGCCTCCCAGATCATTCATGATCATTCGAGAAATTTATCACGTGCCACCAGCGTCAAGTAACTTCCGCTGTCCTAACAGTATTAAGAATTGTGAATGTGCAGGATTTAATCCAGCTGATAATAAGTAAAACGCGATAAACTTGTTTAATAGAGAGAGTGAATGAATTGAATTAGATTGCTTTATTCTAAACATCACAAATTAGCTTTAAAAATTTTCCTTCACCTTTAACCTCTCACCTACAAGAGAGTAAGGGGTAAAGGACATTAAAAAGTCACGTGTTCATTGACAAAGGAAGGTACTTTTCAAGCAAGGTAAGGAATTTGAGGGGGGGAGGTGTTAGGGAAGACTATGGGGACTGTGGTTTGTCTCTGGTACATATAGGGTAACCAAGTTTGTGGGCATTTTTACGACTTAGAAAAAGGGCACTTTTGGGGCATAAGAGCAGAAAGGCAGGGGCTTGAGCCCACCCAGACACCTCCCTGTATGTTACTGCTACAAGACTCCTAAAGTTTTGCGACCTCGACCTTGGTTTAACTTGAAATTACAACATTATTAAATAAGAAGTTCAAATTCACTTGATTCCAAAGTTTCATATTTATTCAAGGGATGATGGTTTGGTTAAAGTTATAGCTACAGCCTAAGTTATTCTATTATTCATTCTTTGATTTCTCCTCGTGAATCTGTCAGCAGGAAAATTACTTCTACAACAGGCTGGATTATTATAAAATAATAATGACACATAATTTAGTTAGAAACTCAGTTTGTTTGTTGCTGAATTTCGCGGGCTGTCTTGGTTAGACTAGAAGTAGGCCTATCGTGTGGAATTTCATAGTGACAGATTAGAGGTAGGCTTATCGTGTGGAATTTCATTATCTAAAGTTTTATTCCTAAGGCCTGTCTAAGAAACATAAGTGTTTTTAACATTTACTAATCCACGTCAGCAATTCTTTTTCCTTAAGGCAGTGTTTTCCAAACTGTAGGGCGCGGCCTTTTGGCAGAAGAGTCCAAAAATGACGAAGATAACAAAATTATCACTTTACTCTCAAAGCTTGTTTGTTTGTTTTAATTAAGCACAAAGCTACACAATGGGCTATCTGTGCTCTGCCCACCACGGGTATCGAAACCCGGATTTTAGCGTTGTAAGTCCGCAGACAATCCGCTATGCCACTGGGGGGCACTCTCAAAGCTGTTGTTGTTTTCGCATTTATTCACTCCTTATGAGCATTTTTTCATTCAAAAAATTTAAAACAAGTAAAGAAAATGATGATTTTGTTGTTATCACTTGCGAAAATTATCTTGATATGAAGGGGGGAGGCGCAATGGGAACTTTGCTGAGTTGGGGGGGGGGTGCACCGCTATTTAAAGTTTGGAAAACACTGCTTTAAAGTATGTAACGTTTACTTTTTTGTTTGTTTTGCGTTGTTGTGCGGATAGCTGTTCAATGGGCTATCTGTGCTGTGCCCACTGGTTTTTAGCGTTATAAGCCTCGAGACTTGCCGCTGAGCAACAGTGGAGCACGATGTTTACTATATACAAAAATAAAAGAAATAGATAGAAATAATTATTAATCCGTATATTATTTTCTCTTGATGTAGCTTACGACTAAAATTAGGCGAACTTTAATATGTTTTGTCTCTCTCTCTTTTTTACAATATCACTGTTTATACCAGAACCTACTGTACTGAAACAAAGTATTTCTTTGAGAAAATATTCAAATTTGACGTTTAGTTGATTTTTGAATTTGTGAAAGCTGACGTAGCATCATCAGGTTGACCTAAAGATCACCTCCTCCTTTTAAATTAAGATTATAGAAAATTAAGTTTTTCAAATTATTTTAATATAAAAAATAGAAATAAAAGGGGCAGGCCTATGATGAAAATATAATGTGTTTTTAAAATGTCTATGAAAGTGTGATTTTTGTTGGCGAAAAGTTAAGGAAATAGACATTGATACGTGTCAGTTGAGATGAAAACAGCCTACAAATACACATATAATTCAATTCAGTGTAGTCTGATATTATACAGTCATTTGCAGCCCGCGCCATCTATAGACGGTATACGCAAGTAGCATATAGGAATGTCTTCAACATTAACAGTATTAAATATTGTAATATCATATAAATCATGGAAGTATTCTGTTTTCTCAAGCCGCTTTCTATTTCTTTAAAATAACTAAACAAAGCACAGAATGCATGATATTCTAATTTGTCAATGATTTGGACCCCTCTTCCCAATACAATGACAATGTCAGTTCATTAAAAAAACAAAACAAATACTTTGTGTATCTTTGTAACGTTTATTATCTTTATTTTATAAAATAAAACAAATACTTTGTACATCTTTGTTACTTTTATTATCTTTATTTTATAATGTACTATTAATGCAGTAAGGTTTTGGTCGTGTGCTAGCAGTGCTGAAAGTTTATTTATCGTGTGCTGTTACTGCTGTATGTTTTTTTGGTCGTGTATTAATAGTGTTGAAGTTTCTTTGTCATGTGCTAGTAGCTATGAGTTAGTTTTCTTACTGGATTTGACTCATATATGTATATGAGAGAGATACTTTTTTACCTGAAGAGTGTTTAATTAAGATGACTTGTTGTTTCGTGGGAAATATTTTTTATATGACTTTTTCAGTTTTGAGGAATTGTGGGCTGTTTTTATTTATTTTTTATTCCTTATTTGAGGGTTAAATAAATACCGTTTTTATGTACCGTGAAATAAAGCTTTCTACTTATATTTGGACAACACATTGATGTCTAAAATAACCTGTGCTGATTTCTTCTTGTATTGTATCTCCCAGACATACCTGTTTGTTGGTTTGTAAGCACTTTTTGCATACTGGAAACAAAATTATTATTTGTGCTGCTGTTTCGTTTTATTATTAAGCACAAAGCTACACACTGACCCGGAATTATTGATTAAACAAACCCTCAACATCAAACAACTTTCACTAACACTGAAAAACATACAGATTCGTTTAAATTGTACATTTTTTAATAGGGACAGTATTTTGTTTGTTACTCATTTATATATTGTAGTTTTGATTAAATTACTGTTATCATAGCTATGTATTTCAGTTACTTACTTAGGAATGATGTAATTCTTTTCTTTTACTTTAGATACTGAAGATTGAATTCCGAAAAGTTTATTGTTTGGAATTAAGCACAAAGCTACACAATGGGCTATCTGTGTTCTGCCCAACACG